GGGACCCCAGGAGGGAGGGCGCCATCCTGATCTCTGGGGGGGGGAGGCTCTTCCAGAGGGTGGGGGGCGCGCCAGAGAAGGCACCCTTCCCAGCTCCCACAAGATGGCAACATATAACGGAGGGGACCTGGAGTGCGCCCACTTTGCTGGAAGGAACCGGGTGGGCAGAAATGATGGGAGATTGGTGGTCCCTCAGGTATCCAGGCTCTCTGCCATGCAGGACTTTAGAGGTTATAACCAGCACCCTGAATTGCAGCCGGAAGCCGACTGGCAGCTCACGTGGCAATGGCGACACATGGGCCCAGTGATAGGCGCCCGTTATTGCTCGTGCCGCTCATTTGGAACCAGCTGCACTCCCCCAGATTGACTGAATTAGCTTCTTCAATGTTTCTCCTCGGCCTGAGAAGGGACTGCGGGCATGCCATTTTTTTAAATCAGCAGCCTTGTGTCCTCGAAGCTTTGCCACGGAACGGCCTTATCCTGAATCCAGGTGTTTTGAGAGAGGCTGCTCTGACTGGCTCCCTGCAAGCTGCACCCACCTCTGCTCCACAAAGATGCTATTCCCAAAGATGCTGGGAATGGACACTGAGCCCTGCTGAGCTGCAGCCCTTCCCCACCGCACGGCCGCCTGGCCTCTTACAAGACCCCTGTTCCCTCTTGCTCCTCTGAGGCCCCCTTCAGCTCACCTGGAGGTTATTCAGGGGATCCATCTTCATGACCGAGCCAACAGTGTTGAGGGGAAGAGAGATCTCCACATTCTGGTTTGGGGCGAGAGGAGTGTGGACTTGCAGAGGCGCAGCTGGGGCCAAACCAAAGCTGAAGAGAAATGGCCAGAGAGTCAAGCAGACATATATTGGTGGGCGACGGTTTCAACAGAAAACCTCTCTAGAATGAATTATGCCCTTCATCCACCAGGTCCAACTACCTGGCACTGATTTCCTGAAAAGTTTTCCCAGTTGCCCCTGGAGTTGCTGTCAACTGCACCCAAAGCAGATGCTCTGTTTTTCAGCTGCAACCTATGGATGCCCCAACCAGCAACAACACTTCTATTCCTGGAAATGTCTAGAGGAGTGTTTCTCAACCTTGGCAACTTTAAGCCATGCTGGCTGGGGAATTCTGGGAGTTGAAGTCCACATCTCTTAAAGTTGCCAAGGTTGAGAAACACTCCTCTAGATATTTCCAGGAATAGAAGTGTTGTTGCTGGTTGGGGCATCCATAGGTTGCAGCTGAAAAACAGAGCATCTGCTTTGGGTGCAGTTGACAGCAACTCCAGGGGCAACTGGGAAAACTTTTCAGGAAATCAGTGCCAGGTAGTTGGACCTGGTGGATGAAGGGCATAATTCATTCTAGAGAGG